AGACGTCTTTAGATTTGGATAGTGGGGAAGCATCACATGGATTAGAGAGAACCTGTTTCTGTCCTCCCGCAATACAAACCTAACAACCACTTCCTACTGGTACAAAAGGAAACAGTGATATGGAAACAAAGCCAGCATTAAAGGAGCAAAATATCAATTTTTTTAAAAGACTGACACTTACCTTTAATATAAGTACTTCAGCATACTGCACCGAAGTCATGAACTCACACTGCACAAACCTGTTCCCTTCACAGTGCAGTTCCGTTACGGCCAAGTTATTTCACAGTACAAAAGTAGAAGCGGAGATACAGCTTGACACAAATATCTTAAAAGCTACCTTATCAATATAGGAACACTATTTTCAGTCAAAAATTAACTTCAGGGAAATTTAGATCGTGTGAGTGGCCAATCAAATTACTGATTTTCCTAAAACTCTTGATTGGCTGACTAAAACAAGAAAAGAAAAGAAAAGAAAAAACATGGAAAACTCAACAGGTAACTGGTGTGGGATTTTATGAGAACCCTCCTCTGGTAGGCTGGTCAAGTAGTTTCTGGCTGCATATACAGCTTTGTCAGCTCTTTGCACTGGTACAGCTGCCGAAGAAGCCAGGACAGCTTGTTGAAGTTTAGGTTTATCTCAGACAAGCGAGTGAGATGACCAAGCTTTGCAGGAACTTCCTCCAGCTTATTGTCCAGCACGCTGAGGTGTTCAAGCATAGTCAGACTTGAATTTGAGAGGAGGGGGGGTTTACATGCAGCATTTTCACAATGTGTGCACATGTGTATCAGAATTAAACTGTCATTAAATGATTTGTTGACTTCAGAACCTATAATTGCAGATATAGGGAGTCATAACGCACCTTTTAATCCCTGGCGGAAGTCTGTGAATCTGGTTGTGGTTCAGATTGAGGACAAGGTTCTTGAAGCCACCTGTAAAACATGAATATTGCACAGACACACACACACACACACACACACACAGATGACTGGAGCTTTGTGTTAATCATACAAAACCAGTAAGAGCCTACCTATCACATCAGGTGGCACTACAGTAATTTGGTTTCTGAACAGGTACCGCTTTTTCAAGGACTCCAGATGGCCCAGAACAGCGGGAAACTCCTTCAAGGCATTATTTCCTAAATTCAGCTCAGCCAGCTTTCGGGCGTTGCAGGAGGAAAAGTATTTAATCACAAATCTGCGTGATGTGTAAAACATTTCAAGTGGCACCTTGGCAATTTTCCAGCAAATAGATAAGCTGCGAGCAAACAAACGAAGCGAGAAGACTCACTTGATGTAAGGAGAGCAGCTCAGTGGGAAGGCCTGTGATGGAGTTGTTGTTTAACAGGAGGACTGACAGGTTTGTGAGTCTGGAAACGCACTTGGGAACTTCCTTTATGTGCGTCGAGCTTAAATTTAAAGAGGCTGCTCCGGCATATAAAACCCTTATCACCCACTTTCTAGCCGCCGATTCCCTTTTAGCTATTTTTTTACGCCTATCGTAACGTTCTGTGGAGTTACCGTGGCAACAGCACGCTCTTTGACAAGTCAAAGATCTGATCCGGAGCAGCTGCGACCTCTGGTGGACACAGCTGGATATTAAACTGTTAAATATGGGTGGATTGATTATAATGGCCAGTTTTACCATGACAGTGAGGGTTTTTCATTTTTAATGCATGGTATATAAATTGTGGTGCCTATGAGGAATACAAGGATGCTCATTAGAAACATTCAGAATAAAGCTGTGACACACACACACACACTCATGGTATTGTATGCATTTATGTAACTTGGTATCATTTACACGTTTAACAGCTCATTTCAGCCAAACAACACTGAAAACAACCACTCGTTGTCCACATTTGGTTGGTAGTCACACATGATAAGCAGCTCCTGAATCCTCAACTGCATGAGTGGAACTGTATTTTTTTTCTTTAAAAAAAAGATTCAGCGATGCCTCTGAAAATGAGCTAAAAGGTAACCCTGTAATCATTAGGATTAGCCAGGGGTGACCCATGTAAAATCTTTTCACACATTCTGTTCAATTGTGTTTTTTTATTATCATCATCATGATTAACACAATGTTATCGTTTATACATTAGAAGTTATGTATTCATTTAGGTTTCACTCTCCGTATCTGACTCCAACACAGACATTTAACCGATGTGAAAACAGAAGCATTCTCTGTTGAGCTCAGCAATGTCTCGCTTGACCAGGGGTCTCCCTTCAAATATGTCATATTTTAGGGTGCTTTGTGTTAGAAGTTTGAACACTCTCTGCATTACGCCAACAGCCTTATGTTAACTCTCTCTCAGCTGTCTTCAGCATTGACTGGGTCCTTTAGCTGTTCCACAGAATTGTAGTGCTCTCCTAGACCATAAGCGTGCCGCATATAGCTACAAGCAAAGAGACAGAGAAAAGGTTATTGTATAGGAGGAAAAAATAACGCAGTATATCAGTTTCCTAGCTTTGACATGCAGTTACACGAAAATCCAAACAGTCAGATTGGATTTAGACTGGCAGTAGTGAAAAATGTGTTTGTAAATTTGTGATTGCAAATTTAAAATGTTTAAATGTTTACTACAACTACATTCATTTGCACATTTTTACTGACAGTGTTGTACTCTGAGCAAAAAACATATTTGGAAACATTCTTACACAAGTGTGATGGGTTCGCCGTCATATTCCTCCCCAATTTTTATGGTAGGAGAGTCCGCCTGGATCACCTCGATCGGCAAATGAAGAACTTGCGTCAAAGCTCGAAGCTGCAAAATTTGAAAAATTAAAAAAAATCCATTATTAAAATGAATTGAAAAGTACAACAAAACACTTCACTGTGTATAGTACAGTATATGACAGTTAAGGAGGAACTCACTTCCAGTTGTCCACCCCAAGCTGATGTGTGCTCCACATCACTGCAGTATTTCTCAAACTCATCTGGAAGCAAAAGACAAACATGTCAATTGAATATTAACAAATATAGCAGTGAAAGTTTTACTTTCATTACCAAAAACACAGATGGTCTCACCTGTTGTGTACATGTCACCTGTGCTTGGGTTGGTGAGGAAAGGCAGGAAGTCGTCAGGATGGCCTCTCATGTGCTCGGCAGTGCGGGATCGCAGTTCCTTCACACTTGTGGGTAATTGGAGCTAAAACAGAACAGAATGCAGTAGAAAATGTGTTCTGTGTGTCTAAACTTGACAGTTTCTCATTGAGTCATTTTCTGTATGACAAGCTGTACAGACTCCAAACACGGAAGGTGTCAAAGATTGTCAGCAATGCTCAATTTCTTATGTAATTCCTGACTCAGTATATAAACTACAGCTACAGTTATTATTCAATTCAATTTTTGTTTATACAGCACCAAATCACAACAACAGTCGCCTCAAGACAATTGATATTGTAAGGTGGACCCTACAATAACGCATACAGAGAAGAACCCAACAATCATATGACTCCCTATGAGCAAGCACTTTGGCGACAGTGGGAAGGAAAAATTCCATTTTAACAGGAAGAAACCTCCAGGCTTTAGAGGGCCAGGGCTCAGGAAGGGCGACCATCTGCCATGACCAGTTGGGTGAGAGAAGGACGACAGGACAAAAGACATGCTGCGGAAGATGCCTCTATAACAACATGTACCTTTGATCGCCGTGTCAGCTGATCTTCAATAGCACGGTACATGCAGTGGCCATCAGAGGAGATCTCCTTGATCTGAAGCTTTTGCTGGGCGAGTTTTTGGACCAGCTTTAAACCCTCCTGATGTCTCACACCCTGCAGGTTCTGCACCTCAGCCTCTGCTATCCTGATCTCCCTCTCCTTCTCCTGTGCAGCCTTTTTGTCCTATACGAAATCATTTAAAGGTCAAAAGCAGGTAAATACGGGTGATTTATTAGACTCCAACTTATATCTAGCAGGCAGAACTGATCATCAGAGACCTCTCTAAAGGTCTCTGATGATCTTTAAAGTCTTTAAAGTTGCACCTCACCCTTCTCTTCTGGGCTTTGGTTACTCGCGGCTGTTTCGCCTCCTCTTGTTCTCCATCTTCCACCTTTACAGTCTCCACTCCATTTATGACCTCTTCCACCTTCTAATATTGAGTAAAGAGAGAAATGGTTATGTCGTAAACTAGGGTTGGGTTTTGATAATCGATTTATCGATTAAAATCGATTCTGGCTTGGATAACGTGATATCGATTCATTAAAATCCTGAATCAATTTTTTTATATTAATTTATTTTTCCAGAAACGCCAGAATCTCAGGTTAAACCTCACAAAATTTCAACAACCACCAAACATTTAAAACAGTAAATGAGAGCAGGAACATGGATTCTGCACAAAGACGTAAAAACAAAGCGCGGAGCCGCAGATCAGAATCAGTGAGATGTCGCCTTTCTCACCCGACGGCACGGACATGGTCGGGGCTGAAAGCCGACAGCTCGCTGATTCCGATGTTTCGGCGGGTCCACGCTTTGTGTTTACGCCCTTTTTGGGCTGATTCTAAAGCTGTTAGTTTTATCTCTCTCCAAACAACATTGACCGAACCAGCAGCAAAAGAAGATCCAAACTAAGCTTCACATAAACATCGTCATGAATTCCCTCTGACTTTTGCTGTTTTGCTTCCACCACGATAAAAATCACACTTCATGCACAACTCTCTCTCTCTCTCTGTATACTTCAAGAACAGTTTCCCATCTAAAAATCAGTTTTCTGCATTATTCGCTTGCTTGTTACGCACAAGTCTACATGTGTTTACAGCGCTGTCGGCCGTTGTTTTTTTTCCTTTTACTTACTTCCGAAAAGAAAGCCTCATTTCTGCTGTTCAACAGACTTCTGAACAAATGTAAACTTTTTAAAATTATGCAAAATGCAAAACGTTTAGCCGTGTCTCTAATAAAACCGCTGTCATGTGTTGATTAATGGTTTTCTTTCGTTTTTGATGTACTGCAGAATATTTTTATAAAATCCCAGGCCAGCAAAACCACCTTCATGTTTTTCTGTGTTTTGTCTTCAGCTACTTTGACACAAAGGCATCTGCTGTGATGTTTACACCTTTGATAAAGTCTTGTGAGTGTCAGCTTCCTTTTTATAGATACAAAAATATGTAAATGTACTGATCTGAATTATAATATTTCTAACTGTCTGAGGCAAAACTTCCCAGATTTAAATCGAATTGAATCGAATCGTGGATCGAATCAATATCGTCACTGACCTAGAAATCAGTGACGATACCCAGCCCTATTGTAAACTGCAGCTGATACAGCACAAAGACTAGAATCATTTACATACTGAATGTATACTGAACACATACAAAAACCTTTTAACAGCTGTGTTCTTTCCCTTTCCATCTTACACTTGTTACCCCATTATGAAAGAGTGCTTCTACATTAATTACTAATCAAACTCTACCCGATTTGTCGACCATCTAAACATAATAAGTCACCTTTGTGTCAGCTGTTGCTTTGAGCTGCCTGAATTCCTCCTCATGTTTCTGACTCAGGTCAGCCTCAAGTTTGGAGATCTCCTCTGTCAGCTGTTTCCTCCTCTTCTTGTCATTTTTGGGGACTGCATTTTTCATGCCCTGGACTTTAGCTGAAAATGACACAAAGCAGACCATCAAACAAAACAGTACAACACAACAATACAGATGATGCTGCATACTGGTTAGAAAAGTTATACATGCACAAAACTGCCAACATAGTGAAGGATACACTGTCATAGATAGCACTAATGCACCTAAAAAAAAAAGATTAAAATGTTTCTGCACCTGTCTACACCAACTGCACAAACAGCTGATTTTACATTATCAGACATTATTAATTATTTTGCAACATGTGGCATGTGAAAGAAATGTTTTGATATCAGTGGTCAGCTAAAGCAGCAACTCGTTTTACATCATGAGCTACATACAGCCAACTTTCATAGTAAGTGAGCCAGACCAGTGAAACACCTTCTTTCAGCCAGTGTAAAGCAGTTAAACCACAAATTTAATCCTTGAGACATCTAAAAATAAGACAAAGAAGTGCAATTTCAAAAAATATCTCAGTTTTTCTACATGATAAAGAAATACTGCAGTAGCAAATGAAATAAATCTTTCAAAATGACTCTTTGGGTTTAAACCGTAGGAAACAAAGGTGTAAAATTACAGAAGCATTTCTGGTGGCTAACTTGCAAGACTTTTCCTTTAAAACAGAAAGCTTTGTTAATTGACAAAATTCTATTTTTATTTCTTTTCTGATGTTTAATTACTTATCTATTACCTAATTACTTGGATGTAGTATGAAATGCCATGGTGAAGATCTTTTTCATTCGGAAAAACTATAAAGCTTATTAAAATACAAATCACATTTTCCAAAGCCGGTGGGGCCGGATTGGTGTGTTTGTCAGACCGAATCCGGCCCTCGTGCCTTATGTTGGACACCCCCTGGGCTAAAGTCATCAAATCCTTAAACGTTTCTCCCAACAGTGATCTGTGTATTAGAGGTTTATTA